AATGAAGATTAAAAGGTTTAGAAGTGATAGAGGTGGTGAGTATGATTCAAATGAGTTTAACAAATTCATACAATCTTTGGGTATTATTCATGAGACTACTCCTCCATATTCACCTTCTTCTAATGGTGTAGCTGAACGTAAAAATCGTACTTTAATTGATTTGACTAGTGCTATGCTTGTTAGTTCATGTGCACCATCTAATTTGTGGGGTGAAGCTATTTTAACTGCATGTTATGTTTTAAATCGTATTCCTAATAAGAAGACTAACCTGACTTCTTTTGAGTTGTGGAGAGGCTATAAGTCAAATCTTAGCTATCTCAAAGCTTGGGGATGCTTGGCTTATGTAAGATTGACAAATCGAAAAAGACCAAAGTTGGGTGCAAAAGCTGCGACATGTGTATTTATTGGGTACACAACTACAAGTAAGGCATATAGATTCCTTGATCTTGATTTTAATGTTGCTATTGAATCTGTGGATGCTATATTTCATGAAGATAAATTTCCTTTTAAACTTAAGAAAGATGGAAGTCATGATTTTACAAAACAAAATGATTTTGAACCTAGTTCCTTAATTTCATCTCATTTTCAAAACCAAGAGAACATGGATTTTGAACATAGGAGAAGTAAAAGAACACGTAAAGAAAGAGATTTTGGTTCATATTATTATGTATATAATGTAGATGGAGAACCATTGTCTTTTCAAGCAGCTTTAACTTCTTCTGATTTTGATTTTTGGAAAGAAGCTATTAATGATGAAATGGATTCTTTGATTTCTAACAAAACTTGGAAGTTGGTAGATTTACCTCCTGGTTGTAAAACAAGAGGATGTAAATGGGTTTTGAGAAAAAAACTTAAATCGGATGGAACCATAGATAAATATAAAGCAAGACTTGTTGCAAAAGGTTTCAAACAAAAGGAGGAACTAGACTTTTTTGATACTTTCTCACCTGTAACCAGAGTGACTTCCATTAGAGTACTTATAGCTGTAGCCACCATTCATAACATGCTCATCCATCAAATGGATGTTAAAATGGCATTTTTAAATGGAGACTTGCATGAAGAAATTTACATGGATCAACCTGAAGGTTTTGTTATGCCTGGCCAAGAGGACAAGGTATGTAAATTGACTAAATCTCTTTATGGTTTGAAACAAGCTCCAAAACAATGGCATGAGAAATTTGATACTTGCTTGATAGAAAATGGTTTTAAATCAAGTGAAAGTGATAAATGCATATATTTTGGATTCTTCAATAATTATCATGTTATTATATGTTTGTATGTTGATGATCTCTTGATTTTTGGTTCAAATTTAGAGGTGATTGACACTACTAAGTCATTGTTAAATAAGCATTTTGACATGAAGGATTTGGGTGAGGCTAATGTAATTCTTGGCATGAAAATAACTAGAAATTATGATGGAATCTTTCTTGATCAATGCCATTATATAGAAAATTTTTTTGAAGAAATACAACTATCATAATTCTAGACATGTTATAACGCCTTTATCACCTAGTGTGCATTTGTATCCCACTTTACATGATAGAGATATTCTCAATCAAAAGGAATATGCTAGTATCATTGGTAGTTTACGGTATCTTACTGATTGCAATAGACCTGATATTTCTTATGCAGTTAGAATGTTAGGAAGATTTACTAGCAAGCCTAATTCCTTTCATTGGGATTGTGTTAAACACTTAATGGGATATTTATATGCTACCAAAAATTATGGTTTATGTTATCAAAGATACCTTGCTATACTTGAAGGATTTTGTGATGCTAATTAGAACACCTTGTTAGGTGATTCTTTATCTATTTCAGGGTATATTTTTAAGATTGGTGGTGGTGCTGTGAGTTGGAAATCTAAAAAACAACAAATAATTGCAAAGTCAACTATGAAGGCAGAGATGATATCATTAGCACTAGCTTCTGAAGAAGCTAGTCGGCTAAGAGATTTGCTGTTTAAAATTCATCTATGGGAAAAACCAGTGCCTCCTATACTCATTCACTATGATAGTACTGCTGCCATTTACAAGGTGAATAACCGTTTTTATAACGGTAAATCCAGATCTATTCGAAGGAAACATAGTATTGTGAGGTCCTACTTGGACAATGGGACAATCCACGTGGATTATATACCATCAAGTGAAAATATTGCTGATCCATTTACAAAAGCTCTGG